AGACAATGTGCCAGTGGGTTGTGGGGCTGGTGTTTGGGGAGAGGGCAGGAGTGGGGATGAATTGCCACGCTCTGAGCTGCATGACATCTCTGAAAGGGCCAAGTGGTGATGTGAGCATTGAAAATGAGATTTCTACTGTTACATTAATGTCATAGGGCACACCCAAGAGTTCCATGATGGCCATAGGCTTTGAATGTAGCACTGTAGGTGTTTGGGATGGGGAATAATTGCTGTTCCTGCCCACTTAGATAATTTCCTGAGTCCTTCTGTTGCCTTCTGAAGCTAAATTGTTGGTACAGCTGAAGAACTGTTTGAAGGTGCCTTTATTTCTTTTTCAGGGCTGGCAGTTGAAGATGCAGTAGCAGCCAAATTTGTTTATGATGCATGGTCAGCTGCAAACTAAAGGGGAAGTCTACAATGCCAATGAGGCCAAGAGAATGGTTTGCAGTTGGTTTCCTTGGATCCTTTGTTAACAAGAAAGGCACCAATCTCATCTGAAAGTAGCCCTTCTAGAGGACTCAAGAATGAAAAGTAAAATTCAGCAGTCGACTGATTTCTCAAGTTTTCTAATTGGAAGTCTTAAATACCTGCAGTATTGCTAATAAATGTATCTCTCTTGTAACAGCAGGTATCAGATGTTTGCAGTAATTTTGGGAAAATCTTTAATTGTAACAAATAATTTTTAAGTGTTGTGAATTCCTTTAGCTTTAACAGACAGTGCTTAGTCCTGTAATCACCCATATCAGTGATTAAAGTGTGCAAGTGGATATCCTAGCCCTGAGATCAAAGACTGTGGGCCTGAGCAACACTGATAAGAAGGTCTGTCTTGGCCAGACCACACAGCTGGGATGCATTCAAGGAGAAGAAACTTTTTTTGGAGGCCTGTGACCAAAAAAGAATAACTTTCAGAATGGGATGTTCCCCAAATGACCATGGAGACCCTCAAGAGACCCCTCCTCTAATGTAAATGAGTTCTGAGAAATGATTTAAATATGTAAAAGAATTGGTAAGAATGTTTAGGATATATGTATGATCTGGGGAAATACATGAATATGTATTAGTTAAAGAGATCTGAATCAATATGTTTCATAGCTGGGTGTGTGATAGGAGGAGATATCCCCTGCACGCCCAGCACCAAAAATAAATTAATGCCACTTTCTAATGCTACAAAGAGTGTTAGAGGGTTTTACTCCCCATTTTTGGTGACGGTTCCTGGTGACCCAGATGGGACAATGCACAGATTCCAGGATACTGAGGACTCAAGAGCACACCAAAGATTTTATTCAGGGACATCCTCTTGGTCCCAGGATCCAGTGAGTTCAAGGCAAGTTCTACTGGGATTTATTAAGGCACTACTGGAGGGGGGTATAACAGAGCTGCTGGAAAGTCTCATTAGATTAAGGTAAAGGGAGTTTGGAAACCAGGTTTTTGGCTTGCTCCCCTATCTACAGGAAGGTCTCAAGTGCCAGCCTTGAGGAAGGTTAAAAATTGTAAATAGTAAAAACGGTAAAAAGGAAGGTACCTTGTGGGTCAAAGTCCCACTGCCCACAGACTGAAAGCCCTGAGGGCTATTTTGTAGGTGAGCTTACACAGGTGCCCTGTGTTTCAAGCTCTAAGGTGTGTGAGTGGGTGTTGCACACCCCTCTCAAAGGGAAATTTAATTGTTTTATTATATTCTGTGTGATGGGTTCTGGTCTATCATCAAAAGCGGGTTCTGGAGAAATCCCCCCTAGGCTGTATTTTGAAACATTGGAGGGAGATGGAAGGTGCAATTGGAGGCTATCTCTCCAGGAAACAGTGTGAATTGAATTTGGTAAAAATTGGTGGCCTTTGTACTCTTTTGGATGATGGTGAAAAACGGCCAATGAATGGAACTTTAAATTATAATACAATGTTACAATTGATGTTGTTTTGTTGTTGGGAAGGGAAATGGAATGTGGTGTTGCATGTGGATTTGGTTTTCACACAGTCTAATCATCTGGAATGGAAAAAAAACAAAAAGGAAAAAATTAAAAAGAGTGTGATATGTTACCAAGTGATCCTATGATTTTGGCTTTAGAGAAAGACCAAGGGAAAAAAGAATCTAAGCGATGCTGCTCAGCTTGTGGTACTGGGAAGTGTTGTATAACTTATGGCTGTGCAGAGGAAGAGGAGGTTGATTTACTGGTAGCCCCTGGGTGAGGGGATAGAATGGAAACAGAAGGAGGACATTGGGGGGTAGTTTGGAGTGATGGCGTTTGTCTTCCCAAGTAACTGTTGCACGTGGTGGGGCCCTGCTCCCCTGGGGATGGCTGCACACTTGCCTGCCCATGGGAAGCGGTGCATGAATTTCATGTACCCTTCCAATTCTTTCCCTGATTCCACTGGTGGGAGACTGAGCGAGCAGCTGCGTGGTGCTTGGGGCTGGCTGGAGTGAAACCACGCTTTTTGGCATGATTAGGATCTGTTAGTGCTGTTTAGCTGGTAACGAGCAGACTGCTGTGCTCGCCCCGGCACTCCCTTGCCTGACTGTGTATGAGAGTCTAGTGCCTGTTAGTGGCCACTTTCTGCCTTCGCTGCTGCTGTACCGCTGCTCACCTCACTGAATTGTGCCGGGGTGCATTTTGACAGCAGCCCTGGCCATGTGCCTGGGCTGGCAGGTGGCCAGGGCAGCGCTGCTGTTTCTGTGCTGCGGTACCAGACAGGCTGGAACTCCAGGGCTGTCTTGCGAGCCGCACTGAGGTGAGAAATAGGAAATAATGAGCCAGTGCTACTCTAAAAAAGTTAGCAGGGACTTATAGGGAAGACCCAGGGAAAGCTATGAAGGTATTTGAGGGCATTATCTGAACCCAGGACCCTGACTGGAGTGATATTCCGGTAGTATTGGATATGTTGTGAGGAATTTGAGTAAGTTGTTGGAAGCAGCGTGGAAGTAGCTGCGTTAGTGGAAGAAAGCCCCAAAACAGGGGCACTGCCGAGGAGAGGGAGAGGAGGAATTAGTAGAGGTGGACTCCAACACAGACAGTTGGACAGGGACCAGTGTGCTATTTGTCGAGAGAAGGGCCACTGGAACTGGGAATGTCAGTAGGGAAAGGGATGGGTAGGAGCTGCTGGACCCTAGATTCCACCCAGGGCTCCTGATCAGGTAGGATGGCTCCTGACGTGTGAAGATGTGTGACAGGGACCAGAGGTGTCATCCCCAGCTGAACCTCTGGTTACATTAACACTGGGGAGTGAGAAAATGGATTTCATAGTAGATACTGAAGCTATGTATTTGGTTTTAAATACATGTAAAGGAAAATTTAGACAGAAAATTATTAATGTACTTGGTGCCACTGGAGAAAGGCAAAATCAGCCATTCTTTCAACCTTTGAAATTTAAAATGGGGAAAAAAAATTGGTTAATGCATCAATTTAGTTGATCATAGGATAGTCCAGACTGTCCTATGCCCTTTTAGGAAGAGACATTTTAAGCAAATTAGCACAAATAACTTTTGATGAAGGAAAAATAGAAGTTCATATCCCTGAACCTAAGCTTCTGGAAGCTCAAGCTTTTATGTTACAGTCATTTGAACCATCAGAAGAAGAAATCCTGGCTGAGGTAGAAAACACAGTTATTCCCTTGGTATGTGCTATGGGTGTCCCAGGACATTCAAAGTTGGCAGAACCCTTGAGAGCATCATCAAAACCTAATGTCAAACCGCTAAGGCAGAAACAAGGTCCTATAAAACCAGGTGTGAAGAGGGGGCTGGAAAAACTAATAGATACATTTCAACAACACAGGCTGTTAGTGGAATGTCAACTGGAGTATAACACCCCGATCTTGCCGGTAAGGAAACCACATTCGGATGAATACGGGTTGTTACAGCACTTAAGAGCTAATAATCAGATAGTACAAGACACGCATCCGAAGCACAGCATTAGATTTAAAAGACGCCTTTTTCTGCACATCTCCAGGTGTGGGCAGCCGAGCTATTTTTGCTTCTGAAAAGTCTCGATTACCCCGGGCGGGGGCCGAGGCGGGGCCGGGCCCGGCGGGGCGGGACGCGGGGCGGTTCCGCGGCGGGGCCGCCCCGGCGGGTTCTTGGCGGCGGCGCGGGCGGTGTCGCAGTCCCCCGCGGTGCCGTCCCGTGGTGCCGGTGCTCGCCATGGGCTCGGCTCCGCCCGCCTTCATCGGCGCCGAGGAGGTGGAGAAGCACCTGCCCCGCGCCAGCCTCCTGCTGCCGGCGCTGGAGGCCGCCCTGGGCAACTTCTCCTCGGGCCCCGCGGGAGGCGTCGTGCAGCCGCTGCGCACCGTGCTGGCCGTGCCCGGGCACGGCGGGTGAGCGCCGAGCCCCGAGCCTGGCGAGGCACCCGGGGAGGGCGAGCGGGGGCAGCGGCGCCGGGGAGCGGGGAAGGCACCGGGTGGGAGGAATTGGAGCGCCAGGAAAGGCCCTCGGTGCCGAGTTAGCGATTAACTGGCCGGTGGCCAGTGATGGTCACGGCCCGGCGGCTGCGGGCTCCGGTGCGAAAGTCCGTGAGTCACACGGGGAATTGTCTCCTAAGGTACCTCGGGGTAATGCCCGCGTACAGCGCTGCGGATGATGCTCTGACAACCAAGCTGGTGACTTTCTATGAGCACCTGAAGGATTCCTCTGCCCCTTCCCACCAAGCGACTGTCCTCTTGTTTGACCCTCGCAATGGTTCTTTGAAAGCTGTAAGTCTCGTGTGTGCCTCTGTGTACTCTAATCAGGAAAAGTTCACCTTGCATTTGAAAGGAAAAAAAACAAAACACATTGCTGAATAAAGAATTGATCTTGAACCATCTTAATTCTAAGTGCAAAGGGAATCATAATTTGCATTGCAGGAAATAGTATTCAGTCTGATTGCTTTTTTTATTTAAACAGTGTATGGATTTGTTTGAGAATAGTGCTGATTTGCATTTACTTTAGCAAAAGTAATTATTATTGGGCAAAAACTGGTCAAGAAAACTGTCTTGGTCTCCTATACCAAATCTGTCAGTTTTTTTAACCCCCTAATCTGTTTATAAGCAGTAGCTAATGCACACAGAGGCAGAAGTGCCCCGTGTGTGATACACATTAAAGTCACCCTGTCACCCCATTGTACAGACCAAGATATAGTGCAGACTGGTGAACCACTGCCAGCTTGCACTCGTCCCTGGTCTTACTGGAGTGCAGAGAATTGGAGTTCTATCCTGTATTCCCAGCGCTGGAGAGCCAGGCTGAATTTGGGGTGGTTCAGCTCTGACCATTCGGACTCCATTTGTGCTGGTGGAATGACATGAAAGAACTGGAATGCACAGAGAATCTGCCCAGTTTCAGTGTGACTTTGTATGGTTTGTGGTTGCTGTACTTGTAATTGCCAACTTTTATATGTGTGCATCTTTTATATCTGTAATATCACTTCATTCACAAATTGGATGAAAGCGTTTCGTATTTACTCCCATTTTGAGTGTTCCTTTCCTTCTGTTTGAATTTTTCTAAAGGTCTTGGATGGCAGTGTCATCACAGCAAAGCGAACAGCTGCAGTTTCTGCCATTGCTACCAAGGTGTGTCTTGTGTTCTCTGAAGTGGGGCAGAGTTAGTGGTGTTTGCTATAAAATAAGTAGAAGGAATGATGCAAATGGCTTTCAGTGCGTGTGAATTTTCATCAAATACAGCTTTAAATTAGATTTACGATAAAATGCGTACTTTCAGGGCAAGCTTAAAATCAGAGTTTTGAGTGAGTCATGTCTGGCTTTAAGACTTTGTGTGTGATTGGAGAAGGAACCTGAGGTCTGTTTTTGTGGCTTCTATTGCAGTCTTTTCTAGGGATTTACAGAGGTGTCTTCCTGTGTAATTTTCTTTCTCCTGTGTTTGTATTCATATGCCTCTTTACAGTTTTGGTTGTTGTAGCTGTGGTGATACATTCAGTTTTAGTGAGACAGATACCTTCTGCTGTCAGGCTAGGACAGGTGGGTTGCACTGGACATGCAGAAAGAGTTAAAAAGCACATTTCCAGGGCTCAGTGTGGGTCCTCTTAAAATACATGATACCCAGTATAGATGGATGATTGCCCAGAGGTGTCTCTCTGTCTGTCAGTGTCCCTGTTGTCACTGGAAGTTGTCTAGATAACTGTCCCTGACCATGGTCATAAACCTGATGTCTAAAGGCAGGTGACGTGTATCTGGCTGTATGTGGCTTTGCATCACTTCAATTACAGTTGGAAATTGCTGTGTTTGAATTCCTTTTTTGAAAGTATTTTTGGTTGTGCTGCTAATAGCAGGAAGAGAGCAAGTCTGCATGCAGTGCACAGCAGTGTTTTAGCTTTCCCCTCAAAGGATGAGGCAATAAGAAGAGGGTCAGAGCTGAAAAATACTGGTGTTTGTCCCCCCTCAGCTTTGCATCTGAATGAAGACTGAGCTCACCACTTCATTAGTGGCAGCCTTCATGCCAGGGGAACTCCATCCATGGCGGTGGAGCTGAACTGACATAAAACTGGAGTGAAGAACCTGTGCCCAAGAGCTTCTCCTGAACCGAAGGCCAGAACAACTGACAATGAACTCCTTGGCCATGAGGTTACAGGCCCTCATTGATCTTGGCCATTCTGTATTTGGGCAGTTGTGATGGTTTTTACACAGCCCAGGCTCTGCTGCCTCAAAGGAGCTTGGCTGCTGAAGGGGCTTCAAGATCAGACCCCTCCTTGCCATCTGTTGTTTTGGGAAATTTTCAGGAGTGTTTGAGTTTAGCTCCTGCTTGTCATCTTGTCCTCCTTATGGCACTTGCTTTTGAAAGGCCCCTGCTTTTATGCAGAGAACCTTTGAAATCAGTGCTTCACAATCTTTGAAAGGATCACTAAAACAAGCTCTTATTCCTGAAAAATGGGATCAATGAGATTATTTCAATTTGTTTGCAGCAGAAGAAGTGCAAAATGCAAAAGTGTTGAGAGCCTAGACGATTCCAAAGCTTTTTAGACAGGAGTGGCCTCAGCAAATGCATAGACAAGACCTAAGGGTAGCTCAGGGTTGGACTCCAGCAGCCCTGCCTTCCCCTTTGCCAAGGACTGGTGAATCACAGGCAAGAAGGAAACCAGAAAACCCAAAGCAACTATAGACCTGAATTTTATGCTTTGTTCCTCAGAACCATCCCTATTTTGACAATGCTTGATGCATATGAATGATGGCTCTTGCAATGCCTGGATGTGTTTGTGGTACGATGTATGGCTGGAGTGAATTGAAACAGGTGGTTCAGGGTGGGGCTACGAAGAGTTTACCTGTGCAGCTGCCACTGTGAGCACTGAGAGCTTTTGGAATTGTGAGCCCTGTTTTCAGCCAGCACAGAACATCAACTCTATGGTTTTACACTTACTTAATCAGTCATGTGGGTGTAATACATTTTGCTAATATTGGACTGTGCTGAGGTCTCAGAAATTGTGTTAGTTCATGCTGTTACATTTTACATCTGAATTTCAGGAGTCAGACATTTCAGAAGTGGAATTAAGCCAAAATGTGTTTTGATACTAGCTTTTGCATTAAACCCCCTAATATGCAGTGACTATTGAATACTGTTTATATTGATATGAATTGATTCTACCTTTTTGACTAAACCCACTTTTTTGTTATTTCAAAGGACTAAAAATACTGCTGTTTATTGTAGCATTTTGAAATATGTTTGTAATATCTGTGAAGCTGTTGTACTTATATATTCTCTTTATTTTACTTTTGATACCATTCAGTTGTTAATGCCAGCTTTTGCAGAGGTGCTGTGCATTTTGGGAGCTGGTGTTCAAGCATACAGCCATTATGAAATCCTCACAGAACTGTTCACATTTAAAGAGGTAATGGACACGTTTTCACATCATCCATTTATTGTTCAGGGTTTAATGTAAATAAAGTGCAGGCAATGAAGTTGTGTGAGGTCTGGCTGGGATGGAGCTGATGTTCCCCCCAACCCTCAAAGAGCTGTGCTTTGCACTGGCAGCTCGAAGAGTGCTGACAACACCTCAGTATTTTGGCTGCTGCTGTGCAGTGCTCCCACAACACCAAGGTTGTCTCTCCAAAGTTCCCGCCTGTCATACTTTGATAAGCTTTCTGTGACTTTCGCTTAAAAGTATTTGTTGGAAATATTTTCATTTGAGAAGGAGCTGTTACTCTGTTATCACAAAACAGTCACTGAAATGTAGCTGGACACTCATGAATTTAGTGACTTGTGTGATGAGAACATTAAATGGGAACAAAAGCCCAACCTTTAGGATACATGTGACTATCTATGGAAAACTGAGACCAAGTATTCTGCTTCAGCAAGGAGAAATTCTCCAAGCTCATCTGTCTGTTTTCATTTCCTTTTCCCCTTGCAGGTCAGGATATGGAATCGCACCAAGGAGAAAGCAGAGCAGTTTGCCAGCTCTGTCCATGGTCCCGTGCGCGTTTGCTCCTCTGCCCAGGAGGCCGTTGTTGGGGCTGATGTGATTGTAACAGTCACCATGGCAACAGAACCCATCCTGTCTGGGGCCTGGGTAAAGCCAGGTGCCCACATCAATGGTAGGCTGTGTTCTCATTGGGTAAAGGATGTGTTTATTATCATTGCTTGGCATCAACATCTGTTGAAAGGCAGTTCTGTGTCCTTGGACTGAATGTTCTTTTTATTTTGACTTTTCCTCTTTAGTGAGGACCTCTCTTTTCCCTAGTGGTGCATCCTCTTTACCCTCATGTTGTCCCTTATTCTTCCCTTGCTCTCCATTTCAATGACCCACTCAAATGTTATTTCCTCAGTGGTTGCTGCTCCTTGTAATATTTCCCTGGTAGTTGTCATCCTTTCTTCCACCAATTTTGTAGCCCCCCTATTTGTTTCTTTTTGGGCTGATCATGTTGATTTCCTTTTTTGCTTGAGTTACACAAGATGGAATAACTGAGTTAAGAACTTCATCATTTGACCTGTAATGATGGTGAGGTTTGGGGGTTGCTTTTTGTTGTTGTTGTTGCCTGCCATGTAATGATGTTGCCATGCTATTGTTTGGAGTCTCCGGACATGCCCCTCTTTGTTTATTTTGATTAATTGTGGGCCTGGTTTAGATGACCTCGTGGCCTTTCCGGATAGCATAGTAATGAGACAAAAGCAGCTTCTCCAAGGGAACAATTTAAAGAAAGGTCCCACATTCCAGCAGCATCCTACCAATTTTTCAACCTCAATTTAGTCCTTTGTGGTTGAAAGTTGTTGTCTGTGTTGTGTCATGGCATGGAAGCCAGAAATACACCCCAAATCAATTAAGGTCCAGAGTCACTGAAGCGACCCAGACACAAAGACTTCTCTCCTTTCTTTGCCTTTTTTTTACCCTTCATTGAGGCATTTGGGCAACGTGGAATTTACTTTTCCATAACAGTTGGACACTTTAAAAAAAGTATGGTTACAGTATAACTGTGTGATTGTTTTGGGGTTTCTGTTGGGTTTCTTGTTTGTTTTTTGAGCCCTTAAGAATGGATAATGATCTTGGGTGCTGTGTGTAAGAAGTTAAGCTCCTTGATTTGTTTTCAGTTTCTCCAGATAAATGAAAACCTGTAGTCTGTTCAATGTGTACTGCTTATAAGAGGATTGTATTATTTACAAGGAAATAATCCAAAGCCATAGGTTCGAAGTCCTTATTAGTAACACTGAATACTCTGTCTGCATGTGCAAGGCTTTGTTGCACATCCATCTCAGAATAACTGAGGGATTCTTCAAGTCTTACTCTTCTCTGTAGACACATAAACACAATCTGAATCGAGTAAAGGTGTATGAAATTCAGGGCATTTGGTAATGATCTGATGAAGGACAAGGTAATGGAGAAAGGGCGAGGACTTTCTCATGCCTCAGCTACTCAGTCTGCTGACTAGCTACTCAGTCTCCATGGCTAACACTGGATTTTTTGTATATTACATTTCCACAATAATGTCCATTGTTATTTTACATGTCTTTTGAACAAAATGGTGTTTGAATTTGTTTTAAACATTGCTCCCAAGTTCATCAGTTTTGTTGTCTTAGCTGTTGGAGCATGCAGACCAAACTGGAGAGAACTGGATGACAAACTGATGAAGAATTGCTCTCTGTTTGTGGATTCCAGGAAGGCTGCTTCTGAAGAATCAGGAGATGTTATATTATCAGGGGTAAGACTTCTGTAATTGATGGGCTTTATTTTTGTGGCAATTGGCTTGCATTTGAAATGAGCTGATATTGATGATGTCCTGCACTGAAACTTTTTAGAGCATCAAATGTAGTTGTTAACACTTTCCAGGAACAGGTTGAAGGATAAACTGCTTTCAAACTGATGCTTCTGTGTGTCTATGACTAAAACAGGCAGCCACTTTATCTACTGTTGCATGACACCATATTACAGTAGCAGGTGCTTAGCATTGGCCTTTGGGTTGATACCAATGTATTGTTTTTTCAAACCAAATAGTGTTTGGTTGTCTTAAATATTCTTCAAATTTATTTATTAAAACCTGTAACTTTCTTCCCATAAGATTTCAGTGTGATTGACACATCAGGCCTCTGGAGAATGGACCACACAAGCTGAGCAGTGATCTGCACAAATTTGACAACAGGGACTCTTTTAGGTTCAATGGCGTTTTCTTTTTCTCTTTGAATGTTTCTGCAGAGCAAATGTGATTTACACTTTTGAGCTCCAGTGATGGTAATGTGAGTGGAATCCCATATGTTTTGTTGGATAAGTGACAAGCTATCCACTGCAAACAAAACAAAAACAAGCAAAAAACTTACTGAGGAAAGTGTGCCAGCTGTTTTTCTTTGGAAACCATTCTGCTCCTCTGATTTCTGTCCAGTTTCTATATTATTTGTCTGAATACTGATCTGCTTCACCATGGAAAAGAATCAGTTTTGGCACGCAGAGCTGGACGATTTCTTTATTCTGAAGTCACTC